CTTTCTTCTACTACTACGTAGCGGTAACGGTAAGGTTACGGTCGTCGTTCGTCGTACTACTACTACTCGTCACTACTCTCTACTACTACTACTACTACTAACTAACTAACTTACTTTCTTCTCTCTCTCTCTCTCTCTCTCTCTCTCTCTCTCTCTCTCTCTCGATTACCAGGGGATCTAGGCCTGGGTTCAGAGTAGCAAGTAGGAAAGTCAAAAAGTAAGCATTACAAAATTCCAAAGGACCTAAAGGCACAAGATGGTTTCGCTATCTTCGAAGTGTTAAAAGTCCCAACTCGATAAAATTATGAGATGCAAGAGATCCTGACGAGTACACTCCCAGGATACAACTAGATCAGAATTTATGATTATTGAGTCTATGAGTTGCACGCTTAAAAGACTCATATAAAACCATAGCACCATATATCAATTTGTTAGCCAACTCCAAATAGTTAGTATAGGGCTTGGATAAGGATGATGGCTATTTATTGATTTGTATATCCAAGAAACACGTGCACTAGAGATACAAATTTCTCACATAAAACTAAGAGTATTTTCTTTAACTCTCACATTGAAAACTTCAACAATAGGAAAAGAGTAACAGTAACAGTTAATTATGCCAATTATCCGAAAAACAACTATGAAATAAAAAAATCTCAAGACGATGTATTAAAAGTGATACGCCAAGTATGGAAGCATTCTCCATTGCATGAAGCATCATCTTAAAGAGTTCATTAAAATTTCTTGATATGATGAGTGAGAGAGTGATCAGTCCAGCCTGAAATTAGGTGAGAGTAAGAGATAGGGTGTGTTTTTTTCAAAGAGAAAAGTTCTTCTCTAGTATAAATTGTAGGGCTTTAAATATAGGATGATGGATAGTAACACATAACCATCCATGTGTCATCAAAGCAAGGGGTAAGATGTCACATTAATTAAGCCCATAAAAAATGAAGCTCACAAGTCACTGAGATGAGCAACATGGGGTGGAGGTCCAAATGAACCAAGATAAGAAAGTTGGGACTTACACATAATGGTCTTAGGATCACAAAAGGAACATGATTATCATAACGACAAAAGCTAAAAGGTCCCATACAAAGTTTTACAAACAAGAGTTGTTTTTAAATATATTTCAAAATTAACAATCCCCACATGTTCTAAACAACACCAGTTTGTAAAACTTTATATAGAACATTTTAAGCTTATGTGGTCATGATGACTATGTTCCTTTTGTGGTCATAAGACCATTATGTGTAAGTCCATCTCTTGGTCCATTTGGACCACACCTCGTTTTGTTCCTCTTTTCAATGACGCGTGAGCTTCATTTTTTATGGTTACACGTCATAACTTTTTAAGATGTCATGTAAGTTAATTAATGTGATGCCTTACCCTTTGCTTTGGTGACAAATGGATGGTTGTGTTACCATCCATCGTCCTATATTTAAAACCCATAATTTATACTTGAAATGATTTTTTTCTCTTTGAACAAAACACACCCTCTCTTATACTCTTGTCGATCTCTGGCTACACCAGTCACTCTCTCACTCGTCACATCAAGAAATTTTAATGGACTCTTTAAGATGATGCTTCATGTAATGGAGAATCTTCGCATATCACTTGCAATATGTCATCTTGAGATTTTATTGTTTAGTGGGTGTCTTTCAGACTAACTCAAGTATTCCCCTGAACTTTAAATTTGCATATACTTTATAATAAGTGATTTGGTAGACGCCTTCCCTAACCAATGCATCAACTTCTACATAGGTCTAACAAGAAAGATACATATTTTGTATGTGACCAATGAATACAACATGAAACATATGAAAAGATGGACATTCTGGGCATCTTACTCTCTGTTGTGCCTGGAAGCTCTAAAACCTAACGGGTTGATTTTTGGCAAATAAAGTACAAGAATAGATCCGGCAAAAAGCAAGCAACAAGCACGAAAAATAAAGCAAGATATAAATAATGCAAAAAGAACGCCAGATTTTAGCAGTCGGAGATTCTGCATCCACTATCCCCTGATAGAAACTGGAAACCAACAACTATAAGCACAAATTTGCAACCACAAACTTTAAAGTTACAAAAGATACAGATCAACAACCAAGTATCAACAACTGCACAAATCGAAGAACTTCAACAAATAAAATTTCTGCCCAAATTTTTTTTTGATCAATCGATCTAGTAAAAGCCACGTATGTGGCTGAAATATGTTGTTTGGGGGTTTAATACCCCCCAAACCTTTTCCCCCATTTTTGAAGGTCAAAATGACCTTATTACCCCTGCCCAAGGGGTATAGTTTAGAAAAAAATAGCGAAAGATTATGCGGCCTGATGCGGTGAGATGTGAGATGCGGCTCTGATGCGGAGAGATACAGCGCATATGCAAGCGCATCTTTCCAATGCGCTGCCCAGCACATAGCGCCTGCTGCCTGATGTGGCGGCATTTTAAAACACTGGTCATAGATGTGATACATCTACGGGCAAAGAAGATCAATATTTTTTCACTAATCAATGAGAGAAAAAAATTACAAGGCAGAGAACTAGAGATTCAAACCCAATCTCCTTCCAAGCCTTGTTCTCTCTACAATTATCTCTCTCTAAACACACAAGTTTCTCTTCTTTTTCTAACACTTCTCACTCTACAAAACAAACCAATCTAAATAGAAAGCAACCCAAAAAGGTGGTACGTGACTCCCCATCTTTTCCTTAACTTTTTGGACTTCTAACTTTATCCTTTTTAAGGATGGACTCATGCCCCATCCAAATCCAGATAGGACTTCACCCCATAAATACCTAGATAGCCATAAGAGGTCAGTAGCAATTTCAAATTAATAGGAACTTTCCTAACTAACTAGGAGGCCCAAAAAATAGGAGACCCCAAATTAAGGAAAAAATCCCTTAAATATAGTATTCAAGACAAATCCCAGCGCTCTCCATTATTTTTAAGAGTGAATGTTTGTTGCCCCGTCTTTTTGGTAATTTCTTGTTAAATGTTTATTCACCATGTACACATTATTTGTCTTAAGGAACTTATTAGACTTTCCTTTGAACAGATTTTTCTTTTGTTTTGATAGATGCCCGTTGAAAGAATTTTCTACAAAAAATGACCAATATCTCATATATCAACACTTCCTTTTTATTCCAGAAAAATAACTTAACATTCGAAGAAAGGCACTAGAAATGTACCACTTGAAGAAGCTCGCCCATTGCTTCTTCTCTGCTTGCAGGTTTCTTTCTACCGCGACCATTTTCTGGGCTGTAATTCCTTGAAAAAAAATAAAGAAATTGAGTAAATCAATAAAGTATTCAAATGAACCAATGTTTTTATTTTTTCTTTAGATAAATAACAGCGTGACACATCCAAATGACGCAAAGGGATATGAAACACATAAACAAGTTCAGAAAAAGAAGCAAAACAAAACAAGAATGCAAAAACAGAAAAATAAACAAAGGATAGTTCCTAGGGGATGAGGAGGGGTCAATGACCCCTCATAGTGAGGATTTCTGCCCCACTTTGAAGTGAATAATATGCTTCGCCAAATAGCATCTCCCCATATACGTGGAGAGCCGAATGACTTCCTCCATGATGTTGACCAACCCCCATGGTACATCAAAATTTATCACAGGCCACCCTATGCAACCAAGGAAATCCCCTTAAGCAACTAATTAACCTGGAAAACAAAGCCATAGACCAGTCTAGCAAGGATAGTAAATACTTAAGCCCAAGAAGAATCATTGAGCCCAATAGGGCTGAACTAGACCTAAAAAGAAACACGTTTGAGTGCACACAACCTTTGTTAAGTGCACACAACCTTTGTTGTGTTACTTTATTAATCGGTGAGGAAGCCAAAGAATAATGTACATTGTATAACTTTCATAGTACTGTTTAATATCCCACAGTATCACAAATACTAGAAGCTCGTCTTTAAAAAATATGATATGCAAGTATTGCTAAAAAGAAACACATTTGAGTCTTGCTACAGGCTTACTGACTAGCCTAGCCCTCCTTTCTTTCCTTTCTTCTCCTAGTCTTTTACCTACTTAGATTAGGAACCCAACATATCTAATTTCAGGTTTAATAATCTAACAACTCTACATAAATGAGAGTTTCCAAAGGGAATATAGCATCAAACCTATAAAAGTCCGCACAGATTTAACATAATCTGGGATCATAATAAGTAATTAAAGGATAAAACAACTCTGAGGCTGATCAAACTATTGACCTGCTGCTTAAGAAGTGTGATATTGAACAACATTCATAATTGAGTCATCACTCCCTTTACCTACTACAATCTAGTGAACGTCATCATTGCTCGACATATGTAGACTTTCTTCAGTTAAACTCGGGCTCTGCAGGGCGCCGATCCTGGAACCAACATAGGAGCCAAACGAGTTTGGCTAGTTCCATTATTTTATTATTTTCACGGAACAAACTCGGGCAAGTCTCTCAGAAACGATTCAGACTTGGGACCCTTCAGAATTTCATTCCTTAAATCTTATTTTCTAACATTTGTTCCACACAAGCAGTTGTCTTTTTATGCACACACGCAATAGACAAATTTGGGTTTTTATTTGGATCTTCATTGAGGGGATTAGGGGATTAAGAGATATATTTTGGCTTATTTTTGGCATTTTTTCTACTACAGGTTATTGGAGTTAGGAAGTTGCAAATTATGATTTCATCGTTCAAAGATTGAAAATGAACCATCCCTGAGTTCCATGGTCAACTCCATGTCGTGAAAAAAAAATCCATTGTTAGGTGAGTGGTTGGATTTTGACGAGGAAAAGGTCAATGATAAGATAATAAATGATAAAAAGATGATTGAATTTAAGATATTTGCATTAATTCCTCCATCAAAATATCTTGATCCTTACTTTATTTTGGCACTCATTCATACTTTTAGAGCCGATGAGAAGAAGATTATGGATATTGATGCAAAACTCATTTTTACCCTCTTTAAAACTCAAGGATAATTTTACAACCAGAGGAGACTAATGCAGGCGGTATGGATCGATTCAGATTTTTCTTTAGATCTTAATTCAGGGAATTAAGGGACACATTTTGGAGATCTTAGGGGGGTTTACGTTTGGTTTTTTCTACAATAGGTCATTGGGGTTTAGGAAGTCAAAATTTATGTTTTCTTTTTTTATGCATATATATATTTTAGTTGTTAGTTGTCTTTTTCTGTTAGAGGCAAAATTATACTTTTATTTTAAGTTAATAATGGACGTTTGGGATTAAAAGACAATGGATGGCCAGGATTTGATAGGAGCTTTTTAGGGTTTTGGATTTACTTAAATAGTTGTTGTTGAAGAGTTTGGTGCCTATTTGCTACTTTTTGTTTAAAAACTTTGAGTTAATAACTTTGTTTAAGAACTTTTGAGTTAATAAATCTACCCAAAAAAGAAATTTGAGTTAATAAAATTTGGAAGTGGATACCGCATTACTTCGTTGTTTTCTTCCTTTTATACCCATGCTTACCCTTAAGACTTGTTATTTTCTTCAGTTTTCCTGAAACATGATTCTGATTCGAGAATAATCACCTTGATTCTCATCAAGCTCAATTCCCTAACAAAACACCCAGTGCCTGTCTACGGATTCCTTCCATGCCACAACTCACCAATTTTTTGCACTAGTTAATCCACTACTTCTACCAAGGCTTGGATCAGTTGAGTGAATTGAGAAATATCTTCATCGGTTGCCGGTTTTGGAGACATCATAACTCTCTCTGATACCACTTAATGCAAATCAGGATTTTGATTCTCGTCAATCTGGACGATATTTCACCAAAACTCGAAAGAATAATGAGTCTCAAGAATTAACAAGAGTAGAGAATGAAGAAAACTCACAAAATTATAAAGAATCCACCTCCAAAATTTAACTCAAACGCTTTCTTTTTAAATTAATTTTATTAATTCAAAGCTTTCGGATGGAATGTAGCAAACTAGCCCCAAAACCCCTCAATAACAACCGTTTAAGCAAACTCAAAACCTTTAAAAGCTTCTCCATTTCCTATTTATTCTATTTTTTTTAATCTTAGCTATCCATTATTAACTTACATGCACCAGACTAACTTAGCTCCTAATGAAATACCACAAATAATAATAATTAAACAAATAAAAATACTTTTTAAATGCCAATAACTTATGGTTATTAAAATAAATAAATAAAGCCCTAAAAGTCCCAACCATATTCCTTAAAATTTAAAGGGAGACCAAAGACAAGTGATTACCAGTCTCAAAAAATAGCAAATCAAGACTGATTGAGGTCATTTTCACCATTATCGTTTTCTTCAACATCTGAAGCTGTAAAAAGGCAAAGTAGACATTTCCTAGAGCACTCACTCTTTTCCACTTAGAGTGCGCATGTCTAACAATTATCGCGATGAGGCAACTTTTCTGTCTCAAAATTGATCGATAGAACCCCTAAGTCTCTCTCTCTTACTCTGAGATAGAGTTAATCTTACCATGGTGGGGCGTAGTGAGAGGGATCATTGAGCTCCTCTGTTGTGGTTAAACAGTTGTTTGTTGCAGGACACAATGCTAAAGATGGAGAACTCTTTTGAACTCCGAGATAGCTAGGTTTACTCCCACTGCCAAAGTATGGAAAGTTCATAGAGAGAATTTTATTTAGGGTATTGCGTTTAGATTTAGAAAAGCACATCTCAATGGAAAATAAAAGAGAGCAAGAGCATTTGCAGGTTAAATCCATTTACCTGAAATGGAAAATGGCGGCGATTACTGCCAATTCGCTGCTCCTCAGGATAATCTCTCTGGAAGTTTGTACAACTAAAATTCAGAAACATGACATCTCCATTCCAGAGAGAGAGAGAGAAAGATAGAGGGGTAAATATACCTTCGGCCAACTGATGGAGGAGAGGCTTCGGAATCTTTTAGCGATGAAACACAGAGAATGCGTCTGGGAGGCGAGGGTTTCAGAGAGACCGGGAAACTCCTGATATGCATCGCAGCAGTAGCCATGACGCTCAGCCACAACACGCGTTTCCCACTCTCACCCTATTCTCAATTAAAATTGAAAACATAGGACCCGGTTTTTATGAGTCCCCTTATCTAGTGCTAACCCCTACTTTCGATGTAGATCTTGGAATTTTTCGATATAGATTTTGGTCCCAAATTTGTAGAGATATAAATTATAAATATAAAAATAAGATCTACACTATAAATTATATTATAAATATAAAAATAAAAGGATACGATTTCTATGCAGCCGGCCCGTATATTATAGAAATACAGGCTTGGCAATAAATATATTTTTTAAATATAATTTGATCTTAATTATTAGAGAATATATAATGTTTAACATAGAGATCATGAATAAAGAAATAGAAAATTAAAAAATAGAAATAATAATTATATTAAGAAAACATTTGGACCGTTAATTATAATTGTCTTAAGATAGACCACCTATTTGTATTCATCTTTAAGAGGGGTGCTTTATACCTCTTGACAGCATATTGCGGAAATGCGGTCTGACCCACATGAAACAATTTTCTAA